TGAACCTTGGAGAGATTTAGGAACGACCACAGCATGAGCCAAGACAAGCAGTTTGCATGAATAGACACTGGAAGCAAGTTGAGTGGGCCTGCAAGTTGGTGGGGCAGGGTCTCAGGGAATCACCAGGGAGGGGCCACCCGCGTTGGGCAGGTTGATGGAGACTCTGATATGGCACCTGCCTGCAGTGGGAGAGCTCAGCAAAGGAGCAATGGCCCCTGCCAGCACTTCTGTCTGGGAGAAAGCTGCCCCTGCAGCCCTCACTCTGACGCCAGACAATTCAGTTCCTCCTCTACGTCTCTGGTGCCTTTCAAGCTGCTGCCTCCGGGCTGGAGCTCAAAGAGAGTGAGTTCTGTCTGTAAGTCTGTGCACAGCCCCTTAAAGAGAAATGTGTGGGACTCCAGGAGCCCTCAGTTTCACTCAGCACAATCTCTGCTGGTTTTCACAGCCAACAGTTATGGGGACTTCTGTTCCTGGCACTGGAACCTTGGGCTGGGGAGCCTGGTGTGGGGCTGGGATTCCTTGCTCCTCAGGAGGAACCCCCACAGCCAAGATATCCCTCCCAGTTTTTAACAGCCACACGTGGATGCAGGACTGGTCTGTTTCATGTCTCTGCCCCTCCTACCAGTCTCGATGTGGCTTCTTCTCTACACAGTTATGGGGACTTCTGTTCCTGGCACTGGAACCTTGGGCTGGGGAGCCTGGTGTGGGGCTGGGATTCCTTGCTCCTCAGGAGGAACCCCCACAGCCAAGATATCCCTCCCAGTTTTTAACAGCCACACGTGGATGCAGGACTGGTCTGTTTCATGTCTCTGCCCTTCCTACCAGTCTCGATGTGGCTTCTTCTGTACGTCCTTAGTTACAGAGCTTCTGTTCAGCGGGACTCAAGGCAGTTCTCAGTGATGGCTGTTCCATTGTTTAGTTGTGTTTTCCATGTGGTCATGCAGGAGTGCGTTGCATTTACCTGCTCTGCCATCTGGACTGGAAGCCCCCTTTCTGCCCTTCATTTTCCTGCGTTCCCTTTTTGAAAAAAAATTCAGCCTCAACTCAGAACCCGTGGTTACAGTATTGTCCATCTCCAATGGTCAACAAGATGACATTAATACTGAAACTGACTAGGATGAGCTTTCCTAGTGCGGTGAGACTACAGACAGCATCCAACCAAAAGACTGGCCATCATTGCATCCTTTGGATTGATTTATGGCAAAAAGGGGGAAGTGTAGATGAAAAAGGGGTTTTATAAAAAGTAACTCACAAGGTAATCTGATAATAAATTCCTAACTGGGCATATTATGGTGGGTAAGTCACATCCCAGGCATATAACCTTTTAGTGGGGAAATATATATATATATTTCCCCCTGTTATTCACAGAAGAACGTAATCATAACTAAAAACAAATTTTACTGTAATGTTTACTTTCTTTTTTAAAAAATAGCAGAAAGAAAATAAAATGTTAACATTGATTACATCTAGTATTGTAAATTATAGGTATTCCATATTCTTTATACCTTTCTGAGACATTTAAATATTCAGTAATTTGTGACCTTAATGCTGTACCCACAGGGCCAAAACCACAAAACCCAATCAGATGCAACTTACATTTCTGTCCCAGCTAGACAGGAGGGCATTGGAAGACTACAGAATCCAGTTAGTGACAAAGATAAAGAACATGCTGAAAGAATGACATAAGGGTGGACAGCAATGGTGGCATGCATGGCAGAAATTGTCCTTAAAGCCAGACAGGGAGCTAAACCAATGTACGGAGAGAGAAGGAAATGCAAAAGCCAAACAAGCCCACAAGTACAAGAAAAGATGCATCATTAGCCACTGGGGAAATGCAAGTCAAAACAAGTGCACCTCTTCCTGCCCATGAGGGCACTAGAACTTTTTATTTTTTAAAATATATACATTTTATTGATATTTTACCGAGAGGAAGGGAGAAGGATAGAGAGTTAGAAACATCAATGAGAGAGAAACATTGATCAGCTGCCTCCTGCACACCTGCTACTGGGGATGTGCCCGCAACCATGGTACATGCCCTTGGCCGGAATCGAACCTGGGAACTTTCAGTCCACAGGCCAACGTTCTATCCTCTGAGCCAAACCGGTTAGGGCATAGAACTTATTATTTATTTATGTGTGCGTGTGTGCATGTGTATGTGTGTTTTGTTTTCTCTTTTTTTAAATAACTTTTTTAAAGAGGAAAATAAATGTTGGCAAGAATGTGGTAGGGACATAAAATGGTGTAGCCAGTTTCAAAAACAGTCTGGAAGCTCTTCAAATGGGTAATCACAGGATTACTGTACACCCAGCAATCCCACCCCTGGGTGCTTACCCCAAAAAATTAAAAGCTATATCCACACAAAAAGTTGTAGATGCGTGTTTGTAACAGCATTATTCATAATAGCCAAAAATATAAGCAACCCAAATGTCCATTAACTGTTGAATAGGTAAGTAATATATCCATTATTCAGCTATAAAAAGAAATTAAGAATGATACATGCTACAACATGAATGAGCCTTAAAAACATTATGATAAGTGAAATAAACTAGTCACAAAGGACCATATTTTGTACTAGAGGCCCGATGCACGAAATTCATGCAAGGGGCTCGGCCTTCACAGCCCCAGCTCCTCGGCCCTCGCAGCTGCGATGACTGCCTCGGCCCTTGCAGCCCCAGCTTCATCTGGAAGTTTGTCCAGATGGTCATTCTGCTGTTCGGTCGTTCAGTCAATTTGCATGTTACGCTTTTATTATTATAGATGGTTTCATTTATGTGACATGTCCAGAATAGGCAAATGCACAGAGACTGGAGTAGGTTAGTGGCGACCAGAAAGACATAACTCTACACATCCAAGAAGCTCAACTCACTCAATGACATCCACAGCAGAATGTATTACAATCAAATAGTCAAAAGACAAAGGAAGTTTTAATCAGCAAGAAAGAAGTAACTCATCATATAAAAGGGATCATCAGTAAGATTAACAGCCTCGTCAGAAACCATGAAGGCCGCAGGGCAGTGGAATGACAAATTTGATTACTAAAAAACAAAACAACAACAACAAAAAAACCATCAACCAAAACGTTTGCATCTGACAAAAGTAATCTTTAAAAATGGAGAGCCCTGGTTGGTGTGGCTCAGTTGGTTGAGCTTCTTCACATGAACCAAAGGTCACCAGTTCGATCCCAGTCAGGGCACATGCCCAGGTTGTCATTCCTTCTTCGCCGCCTCCGTCCCCACCTTGGGGAACCCCTGGACCTGCTGGGGATGGACCCCAACATCTGGCGCCCGAACTGGGACCCTTAGGTAAGCCCCCCATTCCCGTAGGGAAGCCCCACTCTCGGGATGGATAGGACTCCACCATAGGAAGAGGGTGGATAGTCTTCGCCGATTCAATCCCTGGTCCAAGTGCATATGGGAGGCAACAGATCGATGTTTCTCTCACATCAACGTTTCTCTCTCTCTCTCCTTTCCTCTCTCTCTACAATCAATAAAAATATTGTTTTTAAAAATGAAGGAGAAATTTAGAGCACACTCAGATAAACAAACATTAAGGGATATTTTTGGCAATAGACTTGCCCTAAAAGAATGGCTTTAGACACAGAACCTAGAGAGAGAACCTAGCGAGAGAACATGGCAAAAGATCCTGGACAGAACCTGGCTACAGAACTTGGCTGGAGAACCTAGACCGAACATGGCAGGAGAACCTGGATAGAA